ATACGTTCTATTAATATTCAATCAATTTATGTAGATTTTTTTTGACAGGAATGAAAGGAGTCTGTAAGGATGGAAGTGCAGTGCGTTCAATGGATTGTATTGTTTTTTTAAACAACATCTGAACATTTTTCACAGAGAGAGGGAAACAACTTTCAGTAGGAAAAAAATCCATAAAACATTTTTAAAAGGTGCGAGTTATTTGATCTAGGACCAATCAGTGCGTGCCACTGTAATGACTGTAAGTCTATTCATCACAGCTTCGTTTTCGCATTAGGCTATGTACTGTATGTATGCCATACATTTAGGTTACAAAAACGTTGTGGGAACATTGTTTTGAAATGTTTTTAACTCGTTGACGTTTAGCTTTCGTGTCGTGATTGTAACGTAATATAAAGGTTACAAAAACCAAAATTTTTTCTCAGCATTATGATAATCAATTGCAAATAACATCGTAAGGACGTCCAGAGAATGTTGTTCTGAACGTTTTCTCTCAACATTATGAGAATGTATATCAAATAGGCTATTAATGGCTATTAATAGCCTAAAGTTATACAAACATTTTGTCCTAACATTTATATAACTTTTAAAAAATGTTCGTGACAGTTATGAGAAAGTTCCCTGTTAGGGATCTCGTCTTATCTGACTAAGGTTTTATATAGCCTAGCATGTAAACATAAGACACCACCAGAGTAAAACTAATAGGCCTATAGACTAATAGCAAAAACATTAACTAAACAATCTAAAAATGTAACAAAAATACCTGAATGTACTGACAACAAAATAATAATAAAAATAGGACTATACAAAATATAATCAGTTGTGACTTGTCACGTTTTGGGAACGTCTGGGAACATCATTTTATGTTTTTCACCATAAATTAAAATGTGACTTGCACTTTATACACTCTCAGAAAAAAAAGGTACAAAAGTTGTCACTGGGGCAGTACCCTTTCAAAAGATACAATTTTGTACCTGTCACGGTTCATGGGTCCGTGCGGTCCTTTTGCGTCTTGTCATGTGGGTGTATGTGTGTTACGTCATTCGTTAGTGGTTGCAGCTGGCGCTCTATCAGAGCGCGCCAGCTGCAACTCATTAGCGATTCCTTTTATAGGACGCGTTGTTCAATGTGTGTTTGTCGGTTCGTTATTCTCATGTCTTGTCTCCCTGTCAGTTCTCTGTTCCAGCTCACGCACAGTCAGGGTACGGATCTTCAGCCCTCGCCTTGGTTTGGCCAGCGCTTTGGGAGGAACGCCTCTCGAGAGGAGCTCTGATCTTGACCGAGACCCCGAGGATTGATCACCTTGTGTCTCCGTTATTGTGGTTACTAAATAAACCTTTATATTCGCACTTGCGCTTGGATCCTGACTCTTCTTTGCCGTGACAGTACCCCTAAAGGGTGCATATTTGTACCTTAAAAGTATACATATTATTGTCTAAAGTTTACATATTAGTACCCTTTAAAAAGGTACCAGCCCAGTGACAGCTTTTGTACCTTTTTTCTGAAAGTGTACTTAGCTACAACTTAAAAGGCTTTTACAATATTTCACTGTAAAAATGCATGAATTGTCTTGTTAAATATAATATATTCAATCTGAGTGGCCAGTGCCCACAATTTCAGTAGACCATGTTATAGCATTACATTTTGTTTTAAATTATATATTGCTATTGTTTTGCTTTGCAGTGTATGTGCACTGTTTGAGTTAATTGCATCATATTTGTTTCTAGTTTGTTTAATAGGCACAGAGGTCACACTTAGAAGCAGGGACCATCTGCTTAATCAAACTCAATCTAAAAGTATGGGCATGCAATTCTCTTGTTAACACCTTAAACAGAAACATATGTCATAATTCTGATACTGAACAAACACTTAGCTAATTGTTTATTTATTTATTTAGACAAATGGCACACGAACCCCCCCAGTGCAAATGTGAAGATTCATGTATGATATTTGGTGACGGAAATCACACACTGAGTAGTCAGCGAGAGTGGCCAGTGCCTCTGAGAACAGGTGCCATCTGTGCTGGTCCCCCGGGTATCAGCATATCAAAATATCAAAGAGTTCACATATATATATTCTTAAAATGTTTCTCTTCATTTGTGCTCAATTGTACTTAAATTGGTAGAACAATGCGCATTTTAATAAAAGTAAACGTTTTAATAATTTGCTTTGTCTTTAGTAATCAATATAAAAGCCATTTATATAATTTTAGGACATTTTTAATATAATATCACTTTAAAATAGCATACTTAATAATAAAAAAATGTTCTTTTTGAAAATACTGGCCTATATCTGCTAATATATGTGAGCCTGGACCACAAAACCAGTCATAGGTCGCATGGGTATATTTTTAGCAATAGCCAAAAAAACATTCTATGGGTCAGAATGATCGATTATGAGCCACAAGAGCTTCTAAATATAGATTGACAGTCCTGGATATATTGAATCCGAAAAGCTGAAATAGTGGTTGCCTACAGATTTGTGTTGTTATATAGTACAGAGCTATAAAAAGGACATGCCATGCAGTCCAGCTGCAATATGCAATTTTGTGCATGTTTCAGTGAATAGGTAAATTGAATATTCTGCTTGCCGCTCAGTTAACTGTATATTAGTCTTGCCTAATTCACAGACATTCTTCAAATTATGAGTGTAGCTGTTTGAATGATTAGGCCTAATTTTTGAGTTTTGTATTCTGGCTCAAAACAATATTTTATACTCAGAATGGCAATATCTTGGCAAGCAGGCTATTTCTGCTTCACTAGCATAATGTTGTCATGTCCACGCTCTTGACAAAAATACAATTATGGGAATACAACAGGTTGTTTGTCAGAAGACAGAGGAAAATCTTAAAGTTCAGTGTTTTCTCTTATACATTTCACTGCAAAAAGTGGAACAATTATATTGAGTGATTATAAAAAACATAAAGTGTAGGCTATATATATACTGTATGTATATATAATTCCAGATTATCTCGGCCAAATATTGCCCTATCCTAACAAACCATACATCAACGGAAAGCTTATTTATTCAGCTCTCAGATGATGTATACATCTCAATTTCAAAAAATTTACCCTTATGACTGGTTTTGTGGTCCAGGGTCACATATTGAAGGGGTCATAAAGTTTGAGTCCTTACGTCAAAAAGTCTGAAAAGCCCTTATTTAAAATATCACATTAAACGTATAGGCTATATAACTGAGAGTACATTATGAGTTTGTAACATTAAAAATATCCCACGGAGAGCGTTAAAAGTAATCTCTGAGAGTGCATCATTTTGTCCAGATGTCTGTCAGCTCCTACCTTCTGCTGCCGTCACCTCCGATGGACCCTTCACCTGCACCAAGCACCAGATTCGCTGAACTGGACCGCGTCCTTCTCGCAATCAAACAACAGTAATAGTCAGACTTAAAGTCATGTTTTTCAGCTGAAGATTATCCGTCATCTCATCAGCCAAACACATACCGGGCATGATGCGTCCTTCTCCTGTATTTTTCTCTATTAGCTAGCCTACTGTTCCTCGCTGATCACTAATATGATTGAGATGGTCTTCGAGTCCCGCTGATGGCGCACATGAGACCAGAAGCTGAAATGTCTTGTTTAAAGTAGGCTATCGTCCTAATGTGTGATTGTTTGTAAGAACATCCCAAGTAGCAAAATATCACATTGAGTCGTATTTAAGATGAAGAACATATTTTAATTACATTTAGGCCTATTAAACATAATAAACACAAGTACTTCCCTCATTAGCATATGTCATGAACTTGCAATCATTTGAATCATGAAATCATTGTATAAATGTTTTAAAAAATTGCAAAGTGGGCATTGTGTGTCACTAAACGTTGACTTCAGTTAAGAGCTGGCACGATACAATATTTAGGCTATATAGCCTACCGTGTCTTTTTACGGTAAAGACACGATGATTTTGTCAGTTCTCGATTTGCAAATAGCCTACATTAAAAACCTGAAAATAACTAGGCTATATAGCCTATTTTGGGAAAATATGAGAAAAATAGTAAATATAATATTTATTAAAAATACTTTAAAGTTGTGTCCTCGGGTTATGTGTGAAACCCGTTACCATCCCCACATTAAAATGAAAGAAAAACATTAAGAAAAACAAAACAAAACATGACATCATAAAAGTATGCGTCTCCTCTTTCTATCACTGTATCTTATATTTTGGTCAGTAGAGGGCGATCTTAAACAGACAACCCTGATAGGCTACCATGAATTTGTACCAAACCACAGGACATTATTGAAAATTGGCTATTGTAGACATAGCATTAAATTCTCTTTCTTTCATAAAACTACTTTACAGTTCCATAATGTATAGCAACTAAAAATTATCTGCCCGAAATGTTCAAAATCTTAAATAAAATCACCTTTTCAAAATAAAAAAGGCGCCTGCACAGCCACGGCTGTGTTTTAGTGAGTGCACCCTTCAGAAAATCATAATATTCACAATTAGGATCCGGTTTTATTTGCAGTAATACAGGCTGAAATATGTCGGTCCCACTCAGCTACCCCACGATGCACGTGCACCCCACGGCAATGCTCTCCACCACCGATCTGTAACGGATTGAAAATTGGCTATTGTAGACATAGCATTAAATTCTCTTTCTTTCATAAAACTACTTTACAGTTCCATAATGTATAGCAACTAAAAATGATCTGCCCGAACTGTCAACTTTTATACTTTTTAGAGGCACAGCTTTAACCCCATTATAGGCTTATAACTACTATTATACATACACACTATATATATATTAAATTGTAATTTGTTCCTGTGATGGCAAAGCTGGGGCAGTATTTGAAAGAATGTAATAATTTTATTTAGCAGGGATGCATAAAATAATAATGTATAATGCTACAAGTAATATTTGTTTAAAATAAATGCTGTTATTTAAAGTTCTATTCATCAAAGAATCCTGAAACATGCCTGACACTAAAGACTCTCATGTATTAACTTCATACTTCAATATCAAGCATGGTTTTTATATTAGCCTAATTAAACAGGGCTTTGAGGTCTCTCAATCTTTAATCAGAACATAGGGGTTAAATAATGATAATATTCATAATGTTTGAATTTCAAAGATGAAACTAACAATGAACTCCATAATACACTGACCTGTAGGACCAGGGAGAAAGGCTGCGACTGTTTGACATCCAAAGTTTGCGATCCACCACACATTTGTTTATGGATAAGTTGGGATTGTTTCGGACCTGAGACACCATGTCCTCGATACTCTTGTCAAAGTCAATTTCAACAGCACCAGGCATCACTCCTGATTCTGGACCTGTCATCATTGGATCTGGGGATATACTGATAGACGAGGCATTCCGGCGAGGATGAGACTCCAGTTTCCGTCTCCGAGACTTTCCTTCTCTACTGTTGTACTTTGTGTCAGTGGGCATAAACAGGTTCCCCACTATCAGGACCATGAACACCTGCAATATGAAGCATTAAGTAGAGGTTTTAATTTATATTCTCATAATGCTTTTTCAAGTAAACTAATATTTAAATTTTCGGAGACTCACCTTATTCCATATATTTTTCCACATTGTTTTCAGTCAGACTGCAATAAGTTGTCACATTTGTCTCCTTGCTGTGTATGTATTGAATGGAAAGAGCGTGGGATTACACATACTGAAGTGTCACGCCTCACACTGACACAGTAGCCTACAGGGACACACCTGAACCAAACAGTTCAAGGTGGGGCCACATCAAGATATATAGCTATATACAAAAATAATCCTATTCTGTTACCATCTCTAACACATTAGATAGACAGACAGACAGTTAAATAAATAGATAGATAGATAGATAGATAGATAGACAGACAGACAGACAGACAGACAGACAGAGGAAATGACAGACAGATTAGAGATAGATAGATAGATAGATAGATAGACAGACAGACAGACAGACAGACTCACAGACAGACAGACAGACAGACAGACAGA